CCGCCCTGCCCGCGCGCCCCGGCCCGGCCTGTGCTGAATCAGCTCCTGCGGCTGCCGGTCCGCAGGGTGGGGGCGGGGCAGAGGGGCATTCTTCCAGCCCAGCCACCGGGGTGGGGGGCGGGGATGGGGTGGTGCCCCTACCCTGGCCCTGAGGGGCGTGGCAGGCCCAGAACTTCTTGCTCCGGGCTGCTCAGAGCTCCTCCCCTCCCCTCCCCACTCCTGGGCTAGAGGGAGGGAGGAGGGAGGGAGATTCCCCACCGTGCTCCGCCCCCTTCGTTCCGAGCCCCCAGCTTCTGCCTCCTCCGGCTGGAGATGGCACAGGTGTGGCAGCGCTAAGTGGGCTGGCGACATACCCTTGCAGGTCTGTGTAGTAAGAGGAGACCCTAGGTCCACGTGTTTGCGGGGCCTTGGATGTGGCTTGGAATCATTTTGGGAAGGGGGGCATGAGTTGGTTTGGTGGGGTGCTTAGGAATTCGGGGGGTTAGGTCGGGGAATCATACCAGGAAGATAGCAGGGATGTGTGGGGCGGCTGTGGAGGAGAGGAGGTCATGGGGCTGTGGGATGGGCAGGGGGGACCACCGGAGGTCTATGTGGGAGGATTAGGACTAAGGGACAGGCCAGGAGAGTGGGCTTTCTTTGGGTACAGGGCTGGGCCACTGGCCTGACACACAGCTGGGGTAGGCTCCAGAAGCCAAAGCCCTAGTGGCAGGAGGGTCTGCAGGCGCTGCCCACTCCTGACCATGCGTGCTTCTTCCTTGAGCCCCAGCCCCACCCTCCGGGAGCTGGTCCTCATGAGGCTGGCACCCTTCCTGCCTGGCTGGTTGCTGAGTGGGCAAGGTGGTGGGGCGAGAGCGGCCGCGGGGAGCTGGCAGGCAGGGCTGTGGGAACACTTGGATGTGCCTTCAGAGTTTCCACCGCCGCGTCTGCCACGACTCTTCTCTCCTGTGTGTGTGTGTGTGTTCGCCCGCGCAGTGTTTGCTGCAGGCTCTGTGGTGCCATAGCAACGGCTGCATAAGCCTGCCCCACGTGCTGCCTCTTGGCTGCCGCAGCCGCTGGCGCCTCCCACCTCAGCACCCCCACCCCGCCCTATTTATAATCAGTTCCCGGGTTGCAGAGCTTGGTGGGAATGGGTGTGTCCGCTTGCGGGATGGGGGAGGGTGCAGATCCGGGTGTGGGTCTGTGTGGGTGGAAGCAGCGCAGCCCTGGCTAGTGGAGTACTGGACTGGATGTGGGTGGCACAGGATATCCATGGTTGAGATCAGGCATGGGGTCTGGAGGTGACTGATGGGGGTCACCAGGGCCTCACGTGGAGTCTGCCACCCCTTCCCCCACCCCGTGGTTGGTCCCCCTTTCACTTGGACCCCTGACCCTCTCTGCTAGTGTGTACTCTCTGGCCAGCATCTCTCCAGTTAGCTCACAGGCAGGCACTCAGGGTGGGGTGTCTGCATGGTGCCAGGGGCCCCGGGCTTGGGGTGGCAGGGACTTGGTGACTTTGATTTCCTGTGGCTGCTGAAAGTTTCTGGCCTCCCAACAGCTCGCCTGGGGGCGGGGAATGGATGGAGGCCCCACTCAGAGCCCCCCACCCTGCTCCCAGGGGACTCCATGTTCCTGGGTTGCCTTTGATCTGGCCTGGGAAGTTTTAAATAGGGCAGCCATTGTCCCAGACCTGGCATTGGAGGTGGGGACTGCTTGATGGACAGCAGCCAATGGCACCCACAGCCCTCTTGTCCATGTGCTGTAGCAGCTGCCCCTGCAGTTCCCCTCAGCCCTCTGCTCCCAGAACGGCAGTCCTCCCCTCAGACCTTCAGTCCCCCCAGTCCTAGTCCTCCCTCAGGCCTCAGGTACCCCAGGCCCAGATGGCCCCAGAACCCCTCTTTAGATCCTTGTGAGCCCATGAAACCCTGAGACCACAACCTTGTGGTCTGAGGTCCCTCCTGCCCTCTGCTCCCCACTTCCCTCTGCCCACCTTTGAAATTCTCGGTCCATCGCTACTCCTGTCCCCCTCCCCCTAGTCTGAGGAACCTTGAGGGAAGTGTTTAGAAACTAATGTAATTTCTGATGTTGGAGCTGAGTGGACTGGGAGGGGAGGGAAGAGGGGCTGCCGTGGTAGTGGCTGCTACTTCGAGGTATTCCCCACTCTTCCAGGGGCCCTGTGGCTGTGGGTGGGAGGGGCCCACTATGCTGCTGAGTCAGAGGGGGCCGGCCTGGGCGGCCTGGAGGGAGGGGAGGCGGGAGGCTCGCACAGGCGGTGGGCAGGCCAAGTGCCGGCAGGAATCAGGAATCGCAGGAGCCAGGCGCCAGAGCCTCAAGTCCGGAGCTCAGGCCCCTGAACTCAGCACAGAGGCCTGCCTGCCTGCTTGCCACAGGCCCCTGTTGCTCCCATTGCTGAAGAGCTTTGTTGGCCTCCTCCTGGTGCCCTACCCGTGCCCTGGACTTACCACTCGGCAGCCATGGTGGCAGGCATGCTCATGCCCCTGGAGCAGCTGAGGGCCATTTACGAGGTGCTCTTCCGGGAGGGGGTGATGGTGGCCAAGAAGGACCCGCGGCCCCGCAGCCTGCACCCCCACGTGCCCAGCGTCACCAACCTGCAGGTCATGCGTGCCATGGCCTCCCTGCGGGCACGAGGCCTGGTGCGGGAGACCTTCACCTGGCGCCACTTTTACTGGTACCTCACCAACGAGGGCGTGGCCCACCTGCGCCAGTACCTGCACCTGCCTCCGGAAATCGTGCCTGCCTCTCTGCAGCGTGTGCGCCGTCCTGTTGCCATGGTGATGCCAGGGCGCCACACCCACCACATGCAGGCCATGCAGGGTACCTTGGGCTGCCGGCCCAAGCGGGGACACCTGCCAGCTGAGGACCCTGTCCATGAGGAGCGGAGGGTCTACCGCCGAAAGGAGCCTGGGGAGGGGGCCCCTGAGCCCCCTGTTGTGCCTGCCACCACTTCTGGGACCCTGGCGAGGCCTGGCCCGGAGCCTGCCCCAGCCACAGGTCAGCTGCATCCTGGCCCCAGTCATGGGGAATGGGAGGGGGTGCTGTGGCCTAGGCCTGGTGAGTGGGCTGGGGGTGGGAGTAGCACATGAGGGGGCCTTGCTCACACCAGCAGGTGGTGTGCTCTCTGCCTGAAGGTGTTGGGTGCCATGGTATTGGACTATGTGGCTCCTCCTGGCTTGAAGACCTGGGGTGGTTAGGCCAAGGAGGAGCACATGGACCCCTGCCAGCTCATCCCCAGGCACACCCTGGGGATAGGAGTGGTGCTTGTGGCCCTGGACTGGCAGGACCAGCTGTTAGCACAGCATTGCCCCTCTCCCTAATGCTTCCCTTACCTAGTGTCCTGTCTGCCCCTAGGCCCTCTTGTACCAGGAGGAGGAGTTCAAAGGAAATGCTGGGATGGATGAGGTGTAGTTGCTGTCCAGCAGTGTGGCTGGGCAACCTACCTGACCTTTCTGAACCTTGCTTCTGTCCAGTGTGGGTGACCTCTGCCCACGTGGTTTTGTGGCTCAGATGTAGTATTGTGACTGGGTCCTCAGCTGGCTTGGGGTTGGCGATGGCCTAGGGGGCAGCCCTGGGTCGGGGAGACGAGCAGACCCCAGGTAGGAGCACACTGGCAGGCCAGAGGCCAGGGCATGGCGGGCGCTGGACCCAGCCCAAGGTCTAGGCAGATCTTTTTTGGTGGGAGCTGGATCTCAGAGGATGGGACAGGTCCTGTTGTCCCAGGGGTTGCCAGCAACCCCTCACTGTGGCACTTCTCTGTAACATACTTCTGTCCCGAAGCACCTGTGCTGACAGGACCCAGGTGGGTAGATGACATGTGTCCTATGCAGCTTTTGGCTCGCCCATGCACTCAGTGGCCTTGGTGCTGACTTGGGGTGGCCCAGGGCCCCCAGTATAAGGCATACTCAGCCCTGGCTTCCCTCTTTGTGTCTTGACACCTGGGGAGGAACTTGATATTTGAGGGGCTGGGAAGGGGGCATGGAATGTGGCTGGCCCAGTTGCAGGAATTTGCCAGGTGAATGGGGGTCATGGAATCCAGGTACTGGCCCATGGTGCTGAGCAAGAGCCCCATTACTGGCCTTGTCTGGATTGGACCCACTAAGGCTGTGTCATGGAGGCCCCTCTGGGCGGATTGGTGGGATTGTGAGGTACAGGGGCCGCCTCTGGATCTCCCATGGCCTCTCCAGCTCCTGTCAATGGGGCAACAGTGTTTCCTATAAGGAGATGAAGGCGCTGGGCGGCCTTCCCCCTCACCGCACCCCTGTGCCCTCAGTGGTTTGCAGACCAGCCCTCTCCCTCTTCTCGGGTCCTGGTGTGGTGATCTCAGGCCCTTCCTTCCTTTTTTCTCCTTCCTTCCAGGTTGGACTGCTGGGCTGCCTGGCAGGCATTTGGCAGCAGGGCCAGGAGGGGGACTGGGTGTGGCCACAGTGGGCAGGGAGAGGGCACCCCCAGCCCCGATGGAGGTGACTCAGCCTTCCCTTCTTTGCTGTAGCCGCAGCCGAGCCGCCAGTGGTGGCAGCTCAGAGTTTCCAACAGGAAATGAGCTCCAGCCCCGGGCTGAGTCAGGGCCCCGGGTGTGGGCTCCCTCCTTCCCCTGCGTCCCTTAGGGCCGGCCCGGGTCCGGAGGGCCACTCTGTGTGGTGTGGTGCTTCCTCGTCAGTCATTTGCAGGGGTCGTGACGGGTCCACACTTGGGCTGAGGCAGTTTTGGTGACTCTTGGAACCTCTACTTCTCAGAACTTTAAGGATGGCCAAGTAATGAGCCCCAGTATCCCTTCCCCACCGCATTGCCCCTCTCAAGTTGGCAGAAGGGTGAGGTCAGGAGCCTGTGGAGCCAACTGCACTGTTCCCCAGAATGACCTCCGTCAGATGGACTGCCCGGGGGGCCATGGACAGTGCAGGGCAGTCACACATGCTCCCAGCCTGTGCCCTGGTGGTTTGCTCCTCAGTGTGGGAAGGTGTCTACCAACTCTGTCACCCACATACCAGCCAGACCCAGACTGAGCCCCTGGCCCAGGGAACCCCCACCATCTGGGGATGAACCGGATGAGGGGGGAGCTTTAGGAGCAGTCAGGGAGGGCCCCTCTGAGGAGGTGCCCTGAGCTGAGTCCTCACCCATGAGGAGGAACCTGCTTGGCCAAGAGCAGCGTAGCACAGGGAAGGACAGAGGGAGGCCTGGTGACAGCCAGGCAAGGATGTGGGATGGCTCCGAGTTTGGGTTTGCTTTGTGTGGGGAATAGGTTTTTATGTATGAATTTCATTTACATTGCAAAGCAACACTTTTGCCTGGCTCCAAAATCTATATGAACCCATTCGTTTATAGAGAAATGGTGCCATCTGAGCAGTGGGCACATGTGCGTGTTACCTGCTGTGCACCTCACCTTCCCACAGCCTCATCCTTAGGGGACTCGTGTCAGCACACAGAGCTGCCTTGCTCTTTTGTGTGCCTGAGTAGGGCCTGGTGTGGCTGCCAGACATTAGGGTCTAGTCCTAGCTGTGCCTCTGGGTCATGTGTGTACTGCAGGAAACCTGTAGATACAGGGGTTATGGCAGAACTAGGGTTGCCTTTTACCTGGTCCTGCAGTGGCTGGGTGGGAAGGGCAATGAGTGGAGGAGGACCACAGAGGCAGGGACACGGGTGCCACATTTGCCCAGCTGGTCTTCGGAGATGTGTGGAGGAAGGATCGGCTTTGGGAGCTGAGGGAATGAGGGTGCTGAAGAAGTCCAGGGTAGGGGGCTGTGGAGAGGAGGGGAGGGGGGTGGGCTGGGCCGTGCAGGACAGCACACTGGTGGTCTCTGGGAGCTATGCCTGAGGGCTCAGAGGGCTCGGAATGGGCAGGTTGGCCCACTGCACCACCCAGGCTGGTCTGACTCCGTCAGCGGGCTTCAGCTGTGCTCCCCTCTGACTAAGGGGTGGCTGTGAGGAGGAGCCAGGGCTCCCAGAGCTGGGTGGGGAGCCCTTCCTCTGCCTTCCACCCCTTCTTTCCTTCCTGCCTCCCTTCCTTTCCTCTCTGCCGGCTCCCAGAGGCCTGGCCTGTGCTCAGCTGCCATGGACAGGTACAGCATGGAGGAGCTGATTCAGCTGGGCCAAGGTAGGGTAGGGCCTGGCAGGACCGCAGGCATGCAGGGTAAGGGGGACCCAGGTCTCCAACTGGGCTGGGCTCTCCCAGACAGCTTGTGGCTGGGGCCCTGAGGGGCTGGAACTCGAGGGTGCAGGATGAGCACAGCCTCTGCTCAGAACTGCCCACGGAGGGTCTGGTGTGGAATAGAGGTGTCTGGCCCTATCGCAGGTCTCTGTGGGGTGGTAGAGGGCTTCCCACTGCCCTTGAGGAGCTGGTGCCAGCCCCCTAACCCCCCCACGGCTTCCTCTGAGGTTCCCCAGTCAACAGAGCTGGCCGCTGCAGGCCAGTTCCCTTCAGAATGAGTTTCTGAAGCATTGGGTGGGTCTCCCTGCATGGACCAGGCTGCTCCTAGCCCAGTGGTCACAGGACCAGTGTGGTCTGCTGTGTGTTGCTGCAGGCTGGCCAGGCACGCCAGAGGGGACTCCTGGGCTCAACTCACAGCCTGTGTGCCATAGGCCAGCTCCTCACCCTTTCTGTCCTTGGCTTCTCATCCGTCTGATGCTGTAATAGCACAGGGCTCACTTCATAGGGTTCTGTGAGGGTTAAATAGGATTGCGCTTGACAAGGAGGTGGCCTCTCTTGACAAGGAGTGCCACAGAGGCCATATAAACCTGTGTCTTGTCCTCAACCCTCTCTGTCTGCTGGGGCATGGGGGGAGAGGGCCAGGATTGTGACCCCCATATCCTGTTTTGCGGGCACACTGAGGTCCAGGTCAGTCCAGGATGTGGCGTGGGCCTGCCTGCTGACGAGGACCTCCAGCCCCAGGCCTTCCACAGACCAAAGCAGCTGGGGTTCCTGGGGTGGGGCCAGGGAGTGGCGGACACCAGGAGTGGCCTGGGGCAGGGAGGCACAGCCCCTTGATGGGGGAACTCTTCACATCCGCCTGCAGGGTACTGCCGACGATGGGCTGCCCTGGCCTCTGGCTGGCAGCATGGCCTTAGGGAGGCTGTCTGTCGCTTGGGGGCAGGTGCTGTGACTTGTGCAGGGGTGCCCTTGCCTGTGTGGCCTTTTCCAAGTGCACTCCCACTATTGCTCAGGTTGGGTTGTGTGTGCTCGCTCAATAGGGCCAGTGCTAGGCCAGGAGCCTTCTTACTAGAACTGCTATGGGAGCCTGGGGGTGATGCTGGTGGGCACCACCCAGTTGGATTGGACTGTGACGGCTGTGGGCCCCAGTGCCCTCGCTCTGCACACGTCATGTTCTAAGTCTGGACAGATGACAGGCCTTGCTTGTCCTCAGATATTTATATCTCTCGGGCCCCCTGCCCACCCTTCCCCTCCCCCATGGACACAGACGCTGCTGCTGACAGCGCACGCCTGTGCCCTCCTCCCTCCCGACACCACCACTGCCCGCTCTCTGCAGCCTCTGAGGGGGCCTGTGACCCTCCCACACCCCACACCCACTCCTGTCTGCCCCAAGGGCTCCTGCTGCTGTCCCCAATGAAGGTCGTGCCAGGTAGGTGAGAGCCTAGCTGGGGCGGGGGGCCAGTGCCAGGGCTCTGTCCTGTTTCCCTGCACACAGTCTGCCATCTCAGGCCATCCCCCGCCCCCATCCTTCCAGCCCTGTTTGCTGTCCCACGTGGGGGGCCTTGGGACTCTGTGGGGCACTTGTCTTTGAGTGTCGTTGGGTCATCTGTAAGCCTGGGGCCAGTGAGGGCTGGGGCACTGGCATGCATCCCCTTTGGTGCCTGGCAGCTGTCACCAGAGGGCACCCTTGGAGGCAAAATGGAGTACTTGGGCACCTGGGTCACCCTCCTGGTGGGGGTGGGGGTGGGGACCCATGCTGAGGCCACCTAGGCTGTGCTGGGGGTGCCTCATCTTGGCCGAGAGTCACCCATGCATCGCTACAGGCCCCTCCTCCCAGCGGGTGTGGCTGTGG